GTTAAATGTCAATTCACCCCAAATAGAGCTATAGGGTTAATGCAATCCCGGTCAAAATCCCAATAAGCTTTTTTTGTGGGAAATCACAAGCTAATTCTAAATGTATAAGGAACTGCATAATATCTCAAAGAGCCAAAATGATGTGAAAAACAGTCACCAAGTTGGAGAATTTACAGTTCTTGATCTCAAGACTTATGAAGCTGCCACAATCAACCCTGTGGGATAACAGCACGAGTCCCGGCATAAAGCAGAGAATCTAGACATAGACCCACTCCTGTACAGCAACCGGTTTCCAACGAGGTGGTAGGTAATACGATGGCGAGAGGATGGTCTTCAAAAAGGGGTGTCAGGACAACCAGATGTCCACGTGGAAACAATGGCCCTTGGCCTCCACGCGCACCGGAAGAGGAAGCACAGACAATGAAGGAGAAACTGACAAACTGGACTTCATCGAAATTCCAAGCGTCTACTGTTCAAGACACTGGCACACAATTCCCAGGCCGGCCAGTCTGGCATCCTAAAGATACAAAGAACGCTTAAAACTGGGTAAGACAAGCAGCCCATTTTTAAAAAAAGTTTTATTGATTTTAGAGGAAGAGAGAGAAGGAGAGGGAGAGAGAGAGAGCAACATTGATCAGCCGCCTCCCAAATGCCCCCGACCAGGAACCCAACCAGTGAGCCCTCGGTGCACGAACGACACTCAACCAACGGAGCCACGCCAGCCAGGGCAAACGGCCCCTTTTTTTAAGGGCAAAAGATCTGAACAGACACTCACAAAAGAAGATACACAAATGGCCAGCAAAGCAAGCGCAGGAAGAAGATGCTCAACACCATCCCTAGGAAATGCCAACTAAACCACCATGAGCCCCACACACCTATGAAAAGGGCTGAACTTTTAAAAGGATGGCAGCACTGGCGTAAAGAGAATATGGAGCGAGTGCGGCTGTAAAATGAATGTGAAGCCAACTTGGAAAATAGTTCGGCACTTTCCTATAAAGTTAACCACGGGTCCTCAAACTACCCACCGTAACATGTATCCGGCCGCCGGTGTTTTTGCCGCCGCTGCCTGTCCTGCTTAGCAGCCGCCTCATCCCGGCCCACAGTGCGCACGTGTGGAATGTCTGAGGGACAGGGAACTGGCCCCTGTTTAAAAAGTTTGAGGACCTCTGCTTTAACCCCTCCTTTCTATCATTTCACACCAAGAGAAATAAACCTCATGTCCACACAGACTTGTAAGCACAGCAGCTGAACCCTGGTGTGTGTACACCTGCCCGGCTGGCGTGGCTCGGAGGCTGAACGTCAACCCATGAACCAGGAGGTCACAGTTCAATTCCCTGTCGGGGCATGTGCCCAGGTTGTGGGCTCGATACCCAGTAGGGATTGGCTGGAGCCAATCCTCTCATCATTGATGTTTCTCTCTCTTTCCCTCTCCCTTCCTCTCTCTGAAAATCAATAAAAAATAAGTAAATAAATGTTACTATAGGACAATTTATTTTTTTAAAAAAGAAATGGCTGTTACCTGCACCATGGAATACCCCCTCAGCAAAGCAGAAATCAACTACCCACACAGGCAACCCTCTGGCTTTCCCAATGTCCCGCAGGGGAAGGAGTCCAACACCAAGGGTTTGTGTATGATTTTGTTCCTGTGAAACTCTACGAGGGAGACGGGAATCGACAGGAAAAAGCAATGCACTGGCTGCCAGGGCTCTACCCCTGGACGGCGGCGTGTTTCCCAGACGGGCACATCTCTCAAAACCCACCAAGCAGGCGCTCCTCCTCATGGCACCCTCCCCCTGGGCATCTGTGGAAGCAGACTTCCCTGCACCTCTCTGCCTCTTCTCCGCCGGGTGCTAGGGAGGTCCTGCCCACGGCCCAGAGCTGGAAGGGGTGGGGGGAGCTCGCTCTCTCCCTTCCACCTCCACGCAGAGCTTCTGCATGGTGGAAAGGTGGTGGGAAGGGGCCAGAGCAGAGGAGGGAGGATTCAGGTGAGCACAAGAACCAGTCACTCACCTGGCTAAGGTACAAAGGGTGAAGGCAATGAGCTGAGGCAGAGCCAAGGTCATGGGGGGGGGGGGGTGGCAGCAGCTGCACCCAGCTATTTGGATGAAGGAATGGATGGGAAGTGCCCTATCAGGGCTCTTCAGGAGGAGGTTTTGAGAGAGCCAGGAGGTGAGGGAAGAGCCTGGACTCCCACTCAGATGCCCTGCTTTGCTAATGATGGGCTGGGGCTGGGGTGGGGCACTCTTCGGCAGCTATGGTATGCTGGTCACCGGAGGTTCACCTGAGACTCAGATTCCAAAACGGCACACAGTGAACAAGCTGCTGGTGGACACCAGAGACTTGGGGAGGGCCCCCCTTTCCCTGGCTTCCCTAAACCTGGAAGGTCTCCATGCATATCTCCCTCTCTGCAGCCACGGAAATTAATCCCCCAGTCCCAGCAGCCTCTGCTCCAGGACGGCAAGAGGTCCACACCGCCCATGGTGCTCCCTCGCAGGCCCAGGCCGGGGGTACCTCCTGCGCAGCATGGGGCCAGGCTGTCCACACATTAGAACGTCTCAGCTTGACCCCCATCTGAGGCGGAGCCCGGGATCCCCACACTCTAAGTGAGGTCACTCGAGCCCCTGAAAGTTGACGGAACTTGCCCCGAGAGGCCCCAGTCGGTCCCCGGGCCTAACGCCAAAGCCCACACCAAGCCTGGGTGAGTCACTCCCTGCGGCCGCAGCGCCGGGGCTGAAATGGAGGTGATCCCAGTGCTGACAACAGGTTGCAAGAGTGAGAACCGTCCCTCGTGTCGGTAACACACGAAGAGCCATCTGGGGCCTCCGGAGCGTCGCTTCTCCAAGCTGTTCCTGACCCGACCCCCGGCCTCACCCACCAGCACCCAGTGGGGCCTGCGTGCTGCCCAGACCTGGGATTCCCTGAGGCCCATCTGGGCCCCGCCTCCTCCCTCCCAACCTGATTTGATCTTCCTCTTCCTCTCAGCTCAGCGCAGCCTCCATCAGGCCTCCTCCCTCCTGGGGGCTGGCCTCCCCCCTTCCCCAGGCTGGCCTCCCGTCTCCCGGGGGCCCGTCCTCCTCTCTCCCGGGGGAGCCCGGCCTCCCCTCTCCCGGGGGAGCCCGGCCTCCCCCCTTCCCCAGGCTGGCCTCCCGTCTCCCGGGGGCCCGTCCTCCTCTCTCCCGGGGGAGCCCGGCCTCCTGTCTCCCGGGGGCCCGTCCTCCTCTCTCCCGGGGGAGCCCGGCCTCCTGTCTCCCGGGGGCCCGTCCTCCTCTCTCCCGGGGGAGCCCGGCCTCCTGTCTCCCGGGGGCCCGTCCTCCTCTCTCCCGGGGGCCCGGCCTCCTCTCTCCCGGGGGCCCGGCCTCCCCTCTCCCGGGGGAGCCCGGCCTCCTCTCTCCCGGGGGAGCCCGGCCTCCTCTCTCCCGGGGGAGCCCGGCCTCCCGTCTCCCGGGGGCCCGGCCTCCCCTCTCCCGGGGGAGCCCGGCCTCCTCTCTCCCGGGGGGCTCGGCCTCCTCCCACCGCAAGCCCCGGAAGTCCGAGCCTCACCTTCCGCCGCGCTCAATCGACCGGATCCGGCCCACCGGTCAGTCAGCCCCGCGCTACTCCAGGCGCCGCAGGGGCGGGCCCCGCGCCGGGCCCTCGCCATGGCAACGCTACACTTCCGGCCGCGCGGCCCAGAGCCGGAAGCCCGGGCCCAAGGGAGCCGGGGGCGGGGCCTGTCCGGGGGGCGGGGCCTGCCTTGAGCGGCGGGAGAATCCGCGGCCCGGGCGTCCTCGGGGTGGGTGGGCCAGCGTGGGGCGGGAAGGCGAGGAGGCGGAGGCTGTCGGGAGGCGGCCATCCCTGAGGCTGGGCTTAAAGGAAGGGTCTGAGCTCAGCCGACAAGGCCGAGGCGTCCCGCGTGGAGGGAGCGGGCAGCAGCGGGATGTGGTCCGGCGGCAGGTCTGGGCAGGAGCGGGCTCCATCCTGGAGGCCAGGAGAGGGGAGCGGGGGAACGCAGGCCGAGTGGCCGGGAGGCCATCGGTAGTGCCCGCCGGTGAGACACCGACCCTTGGAGCTGTCGGGTCGACCCCTGGAGGAGGCCCGGCGAGGTCTGCAGGGAGAGGCGGCCGGGGAGCAGCGTGGCTCCCACGCGCACCTCAGCCCCGGCTTCCTGCTCCGTGGCCGCCCCGCTGCCAGCAGGTCTGGGCACGCTTGCCCGGCGTGTGTGGTTGGGGGCATCTGGGCTTGAGGCCTTGACCGACTCAGATCAGATGGCAGGGAGGACAGGGGAGGGGTAGAGGGGCGGGTGTCAGGACTGGGAGCCTGGCAGCTGCAGAAGCGTTTTGCTAGGACCACACCCTGGATCATCCTGTCCCTGCTGAGCCCCCACAGGGGCCAGGTGTGCGCAGGGGCTGCCGGTCCCTCGGGCTTCCCCCGCCTGAGCTTCCACTCTCTCCTGAGAGCCCCTCCTCCCCCGGGCCGGCCCCTCCAACGGGAGCGCATTTCCCTCCTCGACCCCCCGGGTTCTCGACACCACCCAGAACCCTGGCGTGCCCGCAAGGATTTTTAAAATACGCAACACCGGACTATTTGGAGAGGGACGCTGACCTCTTCGCCTTTAGACCAGTGGTTCTCAACCTTGGCTGCACCTGAGAATCACCTGGGAATCTTTTTAAAATCAGGAAATCAGGATTTTAAAAAGATTCCCAGGTGATTCTCAGGTGCAGCCAAGGTTGAGAATCACTGCCTTAGATGATCAAATAAAAATATGACAACAGCCAACATAGCAATAGCCATCTGGTGTAAATGAATCAAAATTATACCAATTTTTAAATATATGTTTTTATTGATTTTGGAGGGAGATGAAGGAGAGGGTTAGAGAGATAGAAACATTGATTGGCTGCCTCTTGCACAGATCAAGCCTGCAACCCAGGCATGTGCCCTGACCAGGAATCAAACTGGTGACCTCTTGGTTCCTGGGTTGATGCTCAACCACTGAGCCTCACCAGCCGGGCCCTATTTGGTTTGTTGTTTTTTGTCAGATGGGCAAAAATATATATATTTTTGGTGTGCCACCGCAGACTGTTAGTAATTAGTTTATGTGCCATGAGATGAAAAAGAAGGGCCTTTGGATATTTATAACCTCATTCTCGGGCCATGCAACATTATCAGCTTAAAAATTATGTTGCTCTGAAACAAGCTCTTAGATTTATTGAATTTCAAGTCCCGCCTGCAGTTGCCTTGACAGGGCCAGACCAAATGACACCGCACGTCCTGGGGGGCATTCCCCACCCCTGTTCTAGACCAAGAGCCAGGGTGCTGTGGCTGCCTCCAGGTCCTTCCTGTGCGCGCGCACGCACAAGCCTGCACGCACTCCCACGTGGGGTGAAGCCAGGTGCTCCTCGAAGACTCTTCTGGGGAGTGACTGTGACCCATGGGGCTCCCTGAGAAGTGGCCAGTAAAACCCCTCCAGCTAGGAGACTTCTCCCTCCCGTGCACCCCAGCCCAGGGTACTGCCCAAGTGCTCCCAAGGAATGAGAGGCATCCTCCTCAGGGGTAACCCCCAGGGCATCGGGACCCAGAGCAGGAGAAGAAAAGTGAGGCAAACCTGGCTCCAACAAGTCCTCCATGGCCAGCAGGTCCAGCTCACTCAGGGCCAGTGAGGTGCAAAGTTAAAGGAGGCCAGTCAGCTCCAAGGACCAACTGTGGACAAGCACGAGACCTCCAGGGCCTGGGAAGCCGCTGAGGTCCTGCAGCAGCCCCTGGGGAAAATCCTTGGAATCAACCCTGTCTCTGCCTACTCCCCTACGCTCCCCCCCACTGAAGTTTCCTCCAGGAAGCCCTCCAGTCCACCACTCAGGTCCTACCAGCTGCTTGGCCTTGAACTCTTACTGGCAGCCTGACTGGGGCAAATCACTTTCCTGTCTGTGAAATGGGAGCCTAAGCCCCAGCCCAGACAGACTGATAAATAACCATGAGTCCTGGGTTCTTCCACGGCTCTTCCTTCCAGCTTATAGGGGGTGCCAAAGGCAGCCCAGGGGTGAGAAACAAGGCCTGGGTGGCCTCCTGCAACCCCCACTGGAATCTCCCCGGCCCCTCCCTCCCAGATTAACTGAAACCTGCTAATTGTGGCAGCCCTCGGCCTGGTCCCCTCCCCCACCGCCCGATTCCACCTCCCTTGGCCTCCTCTCCCCTCCCCCTTCCATCCGAATGATAAAGGGCCCGGCCCCGCCTGCCCCCACCCAGCCTCAGGCCCTGGCCCTGCCTCACCTTCCTACTCTATTGCCCGGCGCCCTCAGCCCTTCCGGACCCTGGCCCACGTTGCAGGCCTCCCCTTTATGGGGCCCTGCAGCAACCCGGGCCTGGGGCTCGCGGGGGCAGAGTCGCCCTCCCAGCCCCCCAAGAGGAGGAAGAAGAGATACCTTCGGCATGACAAGCCTCCCTACACCTACTTGGCTATGATCGCCCTAGTGATCCAGGCTGCACCTTCCCGCCGGCTGAAGCTGGCCCAGGTGAGAGGGCCCCGCTCTCCCTCACACTCCGGGTTCGGACCTTTCCCCAGACCCGACCCCCACCTCCTTCCAGGCTTAGGCTCCGGCCTCCATCCCCACCTGGTCCTGCCCAGCTATGCCAGTGGGGCCAGTGCCGACCTGGGCACCAGAGGAGAGAGCTGAGGCGCTCACTGGTGAGGTGCCCTCTTCTCGGGCGTGCAGGTGCCGGGAGGTGGTCAGGGCGCCCCAAGCCTGCCTGTGGGGGAGGGGCGGCGCTGCCCCTGCGCGCCCAGGCTCACGGCGCCTGCCCCATGGTTTCAGATCATCCGTCAGGTCCAGGCCGTGTTCCCCTTCTTCAGGGACGACTACGAGGGCTGGAAGGACTCCATCCGCCACAACCTCTCCTCCAACCGCTGCTTCCGCAAGGTGGGGCTGGGCCAGGGTCCGAGCCGGAGCCGGGGGCGGGGTGGGAGGGAAATCCTGAATATCCCCGGTCGGGCGGCCCCACCAAGCTCGCCCCCCCGCCCCCCTCCACACCAGGTGCCCAAGGACCCTGCGAAGCCCAAGGCCAAGGGCAACTTCTGGGCGGTCGACGTGAGCCTGATCCCCGCCGAGGCGCTGCGGCTGCAGAACACGGCCCTGTGCCGGCGCTGGCAGGGCAGGGGCGCGCGGGGGACCTTCGCCAAGGACCTGGGCCCCTACGTGCTGCACGGCCGGCCCTACCGACCGCCCAAGCCGCCCCATCCGCCCAGTCCCCAGCTGCCACCCAGCGAGGGCTTCAGCATCAAGTCTCTGCTGGGGGGCGCGGGGGAGGGAGCGCCCCGAAGCAGCCAAGGTGGAGCGGGTGCCCTTCCAAGTAAGGAGGAGGTGGTGCCCACACCACCCGTGCCCTCTGAGCGGCCGCTGTGGCCCCTCTGCCCCCTCCCAGGGATCATGAGGCCGGAGGGGGAGACTCCCCAGGGGAGAGCTAGCAGGCCTTCACCCCTCTGCCCTGAGCCCAGGGCCTGGCCCCTCCACTTGCTGCAGGGTACCTCCGACCCTGGGGGTCACAGGGCTTCACTTTGGGGGCAGCTCCCCACCTCCTACTTGCCCATCTATACCCCCAACGTGGTAGTGCCCTTGGCACCGCTACCACCCACCTCCTGTCCCCAGTGCCCGCCCTCATCCAGCCCAGCCTACTGGGGCGTGACCCCTGAAACCCACAGCCCCCCAGGGCTGCTGTGGGATCTAGATGCCCTATTCCAGGGGGTGCCACCCAACAAGAGCATCTATGATGTGTGGGTGAGCCACCCCGGAGAACTGGCCGCCCCCACCCCAGGCTGGCTGCTCTCTTGGTACAGCCTGTGAGCTCCAGGGCAGGGGCTGCCAACCCCCACCCCCACCCCCACCCCCATCCCCGCTGCCACTGGCTTGCTGAGGGGACCAAAGGCCAACGGGAGTCAGAAGTGTGGCCACAGCGGCCTGGAAACACCAGGCACCAGCCACTGTGAGTCTACCATGTTTATTGGGCCACCCCACAAAGGGTGTGTCTACTCCGCCCTGATGGTCAGGCCCCTGCCACCCCCAGCGGCAAGGCTGGGAGGAGTGGCCTTTCCTGTCCCCTTCCTAGTCCCACCTTCTCTGGCCTCTTCTGTCCGTCCATCCATTCATCCATCTATCCATCACCATCTGCCACCTCCCTCTCCTGGCTCCGGGGTTGGGGGAGGGAGGACTTATATGGCAGCTCAGCCTGAAGCCCTCACCTTCCTCAACTGTCTGGGCCGAAGGTGGCACCTTTTTGGGGAAAGGCATAGGGGAACAGGGACCCGACCTAGTGTGGGTGGTGTCGTGGGAGAGAGAACAGTAAAGGAATGGACCGCATTTTAATGGCAAGACTGATGTTTGGTGCGGGGCAGTGATTGTGGTGACTCGGAAACCAGTAGGCCAGGCCCGGCTGCTCTGGGGTCCCCCGCTGAGTAGGCGATAGCAGCAAATGGCGATAAGGAGGGAGCCGGGGCCTGGGCCTGGCTGAGGGCTGAGGGCGGGCAATCTGAACTGGGGCGGAACACTCCTCGCCGGGAGGGGGTGAGACAGCTCTGGGAGTTTGGGAACCAGTGAGCCCGGAGGTCAAAGGTGGTAGGAGGGTCGGGGTTTTGCTGCCTCCGCCGGCAGAGGGCGCAACCCCAGACTCCTGGCCCTGACTACGAGAGCAGGTCCTCGGGGGACCCGGGAGCCGAGCCGTTGGGGCCGGGGCTGGCAGGGCTTCCCGGGGACGGCGTCGGGGTGCAGAGGGTCCCAGTGAGCGGCGTGTCCGTGCTCAGGGAGGAGGGCGTCCCCGAGCGCCGGGTTCTGCGGCGCCGCGCCGGCCCCAGCTCCACGCGGCCCACTCGCTCCGCGAACTTGAGCGAGCACACGGTCTCGCCGAGATCCTCGGGCCGCGTGGAGATCTGCGGGGGAGCGCGTGGTGGGCGGGGCCTGGCATGCAAATCGCCCCGAGCGGTGCTGGTGGGCGGGGCCTGGCATGCAAATACCCCCCGGGCTTCGCCTCCACCCGCGCCGAGGAAGCCCACCTGCAGCAGCAGCACCACGGTGGCGCCGGGGCCGAGCGCGGGCTGGAGCAGGCGTGTGAGCTGCGAGTCGCGGAAGGGCACGTGCGGCCGGCGGGCCCGCAGCGCCGTCATCACCCCTCCCAGTGCCAGCAACGAGCGGTTGATGGCCCGGGCCTCCCGGAGGCGCTGGGCGTCGTGAGTGTAGCCCCTCGCCCTGCAGACGGCCCCCGCCTTCCGGGCGCGCTCGGACCCCGCCAGGTCCACCAGGTGCAGCGTGCCTGCGGGGCGAGCGAGCCAAGGGGAGGGGACTCCCAGCAAGGTCCCCCATGCGCCCCTGCTCTGCCAGCGCCGAGACCCTCCACCACAGGGAGGGGCGCGGCCGTGGTACCTGTGGTGCCTGGGCCGCGCGGGGGAGACGCTGCCTCCAGTGTCAGCGTGACCAGCGCGTGAGAGCGAGAGCTGTGCTGGTTCATGGCGGTGGCGGCGGTGGCCCGGTTGCTCCTCCCCAGGCTCAGCATCTGGAACGCGCAGCGACAAAGCTTGGCTCACTGCAGGGTCCACAGCCCCAGGTGTGAGCACAGCTGTGCGGCCCCACTGAGCAGGCTTACCTGGTGCAGGGTCTCCAGGTTGGGCACATCCCAGTACGTGAGGCCGGCCACTTGGATCCCTCCCTGACCTGCAGGGCCCTGCCTCACCGCCAAGCGCTCAGGGGGCCCCGGGGCTAGGAGGTCCCTGGTGAGAAAAGTGAGGCCTCGGTTCAGGGGTTCTTGGCAAAGGGGTGGGGGGGCTAGGAGGCAGCTAGGGTGTCGCCCTGACCTGACAGCCTCATTGTAGATCTCCACCATGCTGAGGGTCACTCGGGGGTGCCCTCCGGCCCTCATCTCCCGGAACAGTGACTGCAGCGCCCTAGGAGCTATGCCGGGGTCCTCAGGTGGGCCCTGGAGAGGGGGTGGGTGCCACATGGGGCTCACGTCCTAGTCCCTGGCCCCAGGAGCCACCCAGTGCACACACACCCCCTTCCCACCTCCATGCTGTAGGTCTTTCCAGTCCCTGTCTGGCCATAGGTGAAAATGCAGACACTGTAGCCTCGGAGGCAGGACAGCACCGCCGGCTCCAGCTCCCTGAAGACCTAGGGGTGTGGGGAGGGTCCTGAGCCCTGGACCTGGGCAAGCTTTATTCCAAAGCTCAAGTGCCCTGGAAGGACGGTTCTAGGGGAAGTTTGCTGGAAGGGGGGTCTCCTGCCAGGCAAAGGAGGCTCCCTGGACGAGAACTTGCCCGGCAAAGGGAGGAGTGTGACAGGAAGAGGGAACAGGTGTGCAGAGTATCGGAATCCTGGTGACCACGTGGGAGGACCAGGGCTTTCGTAGTCACTGCCCGGGTCAAACCCCAGGGCATGATTGCAAGGCCTCCCCTCACAGGAGACCACTGTTGTGAGGGTTAAGGGGGAACGTGTGCCCAGAGGCTACAGTGGTGCTCTCCACAGCAAGGGTGAGCCCAGAAAGGCCCAGGAGGTGGGGGGTGGGAGCGCTGGCCCGCCAGGATGCTGGGACTCGGTCCTGGGAGGGTGCAGAAAGGGCTGGGGGGAGATGGGGCTGTGACTTGTGTCCTGTTGGCAACTGGACATCAACAGTAGCCTTGTGAGCAATGGCATGGCCAGCATTTGTGCATAGAAGGCTGGTAAGTGCATGAGCTGTCATTTCTGCTGAGCGTGCTGGCTGCCAGCCAGGGGAGCAGAGCCAGCATTGCGAGTTGGTCCCTAAGCTTCCATCTCTGGAAGGAAGGACTGGGGGCGACAGTGGCACCAGTGCAGACATGGCACCGAGAGATGCCTTTTACTCTCACCCAGACACTGATTTGGAGGGCCCTGTCCTGAACAAGCCCCCTCCCCACCCCAGTGCAGGACTGCAGTGTAGGGTGGGACCGAGGCCTGGCTAGTGTGTCAGGTGAAGAGGTAGGTGGGAAGCAGCTGTAGTACCCAGGACATGGGAGAGGGAGACCTGGCCACCCCCTGAGGCCAACAGGAGTCTGCTTCTCAGCCAGCTCTGCCCAGACCGAATCCCCTCCCAAGCCTGCCTCCATTTCCTGAGCTACAGAAGCTGCAGCAGCAAAATGTGCGTGCAACACATGGTGTGTGTGAAGCAGGGTGGTGGTGGCTGGGTTAAGCCTCAGCTTTTCTGCTGGGTCTGGCAGGAAAGGGGCGGGGTCCGCACAGGGTAACAGAGCCCAGAGGCTGGAGGCTGGCTGCCAGCATGCCAGGGCCCTGTCCGTGCGTGCCCTTGGCCACAAAGCAAGGAGGGCTGCCTGTCCTCACAGCTGGCAGACTCGGGGCCCTGGCCATGGAGCAGGCAGCCCAGGAAGCCAGGGGGCAACGAGGTCACGGCACCATCCCCACCTCAGCAGCACCCCAGCTACGCTCCCCAGCCAGCTTTGTGTGAACAGTGATCTCAGACAGGTTCCTTTTCTTTAGTTTCCTGGTAAACACATTATTTTTAAATGTTAAACCTTACTGTCTGTTCCCCCTGGGCCTGCACAGCTTGGTGAGGGGACGCAGAGGGGAAACCCTGGAAGGAACGTATGTGCCCAGCTTGGCTTCCGGTCCTGCCTCCCAGCCCCCCCCCCCCCCCCCCCCGGCCTTCCCTGCTGGAATCGGCACTTTTGCTCCTGGGAGGGCAGCAGGGCAGGGAAGGGGCACCAGAGCCTCTGAGGGAGGGTCAACACAGGTGTGAGGGTGGAGCATCACCTCTTCCTGGCTGGCGTCTGGAGGGAAGACCCAGTCCAGGCGGAAGCGACGCTGGTGCCCTCGATAGCAGGTGGTGACTGTGCCGCCTGGGCCGGGCTCCGAACTCACCAGGCTGGAGGGCGTCCCTGGCCTCAGCCGACACAGCACGCGGATATTTCCTGGGGTTGAGATCACAGCAGTGGGCTGCCTCCCAGACCCTGAGGCACAGAGAGGCTCCAGTTCCTCTGGCCTGCCCACCCCACCCCCATGCTCCCCAGTGGTCATACCCTTGAGCTCCAGTAGCCGCCCTGGGCATCCGGTTGGGGGCTCCTGCTGCCCTTCAGGAAGCTGAGGCCCTGCCCCACTGACTGACAGTGCTCTCAGGGCCCAGGATACCTGGGGAACAGGGATGTGAGCAAGGCAGGGAGGGACAGCCAAGGAGAAGGGAGGGGTGCTGAGGGCAATAGGGAGCCGCTGTATGGCCACCAGCTGTGGGAATCCACAACATTCAGGGGTCCCTAGGGGTATCACTCAGTGGGCCTGGATGGAGCCTGCCAATCAGGACCATGGGCAAGGATGTCATTTGTCTCCTCTGGGCTTCTTGACAATCCTGTGAGGGGTTCACCGTCACCCCAGTTAGCACAGGACAAAAATGAGACCTAGAAGTGAGGTAACACCTGGGTCACAGGAGCTGTCCTGATTCCAGAACCTACAACCCATTAGAGCAGTCAGCTCCCTGGGGCTGGGAAGGAGGAAAAGAGGGGCTCCCTAAGGGGAGGACACCGACTGGCTGCCCTGGGCGCACACACTGGAGAGGGAGCAGGTGGTCCTGACCTGGCCCCGGGCCTCGCTCAGGGAGCCCTGGCAGCTCTGGGTAAAGGTGCTGACCAGACCTCGGAGGTCCCCGCAGCCCTGACGCAGGCTGGCCATGCGTGCCCGGAGTCCTGGTGGGAGAAGGGGGTTGTGAGGGAAAGCCCCAAACCTGTGACCTTCCCAGGAGCCCCTAGCCCCAGGTCTCACCTGCCAGCTGCCCGTGCACCTGCTGCAGCTCCCTTCTGCAGCTCTGCTCTGTTTCCTGCTGGAGCTGCCGGAGGGCCCCCCGGAGGCCCTGCAGCTGCACCTCCTGCACCCCCAGCTGCCCCACCCCACCCAGTCGCTGAGGAAGTAGGCACTTACCAGGCCTTGCCTCAGACATCCCCCTCCCAGTGCCTCCATCTTCCCAGCCCCTGGACCGAGCACTCACCTGGACTCGGAGGGTTTCTGTGGCCTCCTGGGCCTCCTGAAGCTGGCCCTGGAGCTCCACCAGTGCCTCTGCCTCCTCCTGCAGGAGGGGTGGGAGCCATGGAGCCAGAAGGAAACTCGGGGAGGGGCATTCTAGCAGCCCCATTGCGCACAAGGGGCAGTCAGGTCAAGAGGGGCAGACAGAGCCAATCATGAATCGATGCAGGACTTTACCCCAAGTCCCTTGCTCGCCTGGAGTCAGTTGCTCAGAGGACCCATGGTGTGTGTGTGTTTGGGGGAGGGGGGTGGTTCTCCCATGGGCATCAGTCTCCTCCATGGGGTTGCCCTGGGCCTGTCCACATCCTAGTCCTGGAAGGTCAGAGAGCGCCCCCCTGCCTCTGTTCCTCAGAGCACCAGGTTCTGAGAGCAATGTTGCTGGAGACCAGGTGTGCAAGCGCCCCAGGCTGCAGGGACAGTAGCAGGTCAGGAGCAGAATACCTGGGGAGCCCTGGCAGGGAGGCCAGCACCCCAGTGCCTCAGGAGATCCTGAGTGAGCATCAGGCTCTGTTTCAAGGCCTCGTTCTCCAGGGTTAGATGCCGAACCCTTTTCTCTGAGTCTGTCGCCCCCTGGAGGAGAGGAAGATCTCTGGACTCACCTGAGAGCCCTGGCCCCTCTCCCTGCCCCTACTTGAGCCCAGCCTAGCAGCCTCACCACTCCCAGGTGAAGTTGGCCCAGCCCTTCCTCCTGCAGATCCAGCTGCTGCTTCAGCTCCTCCAGCTGGGAAGGAGAAAGGGGGACAGGGTGGAGCACCTCCTTCCATCCCCCCCAGTGACTACCCCTTCCTGGGTCCCTCACCTGTCCAAGAACGAGCTGCTCCAGCTGCTGCCAGGCCCTCTGGTCCTCCGCCAACTGGGGGGGCTGCTGCCCCTGGGCCTCAGCCCTCGGTGAAAGGGAAGGGTTTTCTTGGGATGTGGGTCCTGGGGTGGGTGGGGTGCAGTTAAGACTGACTGAGGTTTCTGGCCTGAAGTGGGGGCACCTCGGGAGCAGGTTGCTCAGGTCCTGGTAGTCTTCACTCCCTCCACACACTCCCTTTTCAAATCACTATTTCTTACGCACCAGCAGTAGTGGGGGGCTGCACCCCCGAGGCTGGCTGAGTTTCCTGGGGCAGGGCCTGCCTCCCCCTGGGGCTCCGAATCCATGCCAGGAGAGCCAAGAGCTGACCAGTCACCGTCAACAGTGGGGGGACATCACCAGGCTGCGAAGGAGATAAGATTCAGAATGCAAGAAACCAATTGGGTCCCTGGGTGTGGAGGCCCGGACTGGGGAGCAAGAACCCTAGGCCGGCTCACCTTGCTCAGACCGGCAGGATACCCGCAGCTCTCTTCCGCCCCCAGCTGGACTGAAAGGAACTCGGCAAGACGCACGAGAGCCTCTTCCAAGGAGACCTCAGCGGGGCGGCCCTCGGATCCCACTCCAGGCTCATCTTCCGACTCTGCGCAGCCTGCAAGGCCAGGTAGTAGGGTGCTGGGGGGGGATGCTGGGTCACGTGCTGCAGGCTAGGCTTCCAGATGGCACCTGTCGGTATCCCTCCCAATGAGGACACCTCTCCCTCTCGGACGGCGGCGGGGTTTCCTCATCGCCCCCGGGACGCAGCGTTCCGGACGCACGACAGCACCTACCGACCAGGCCGGTCAGCTCGGTCCACAGTTCTGCAGGGGGCTGGTGGGGACGGCGGCGATCCCCGGGCTTGCAGCGGGCACTCTAGGGAGGGAGCAGGGGAAGCGCCTGAGGAGAGGCCGGGCAGCCTCCCTCCGGGAACTGGGCCACAAGGGTCTCTGCTTGCAACCCGAGCAGAGACAGGGTCCTCTGCAAGGCCCTCCTCCCCCGAGTCAGCGCCCTGGTGACCTGCTCTGCGCGGGCCTGCACCACCCGCTGCGTCTCAGGAAGGGGATTGCAGGTCGTGCTGCGTCCGCCCCCGCTCACCTGGGCGGGGTCCCTGGAGTCGGCGGACGCCCCGGCCCCTCCATCCCTGCGGAAAAGGCTGTAGAAGATGTAGATGAGCAGCGAGTAGAAGGCGTACATGGGAGCGCGGGGCGGCAGAGGGCCCGGCTTCGCGCCGCCCCGCGTCCCCGCGCCCGGACTCCGCGCTCGCCCGCAGCACAGCCGGTGCGCATGCTCGGGGCGGCCGCCCCCACGGCCCGGTCCCGCGGGCGTAGAGCGCGCGCCCGAGGAAAGAGGTGCCCGAGACTGATGTCCCCGGACCCACACCCGGACACCTGCCCCGCGCCCCCAACCCCGACTTCAGGAGACCGCAGGCTGAGACCGCGCACAGCCCCCGCATCCCCTCTCCTCGGAATCCCTCCCAGCCCTCCGCAGGGGCCCCCACGGCTGTCGCCCGGTAGAGCCGGAGCCCACCAGCATCCTTCCTCTCCTCCCTACAGCCCCGCCCCTTCTCTTTCCGCCCCGCCCACCAGATCTCCTACCACCCTGCCCTCCTAGAAACCCTCCCTGACAGCCCCGCCCCCTCCCCTCACTGACTCGTCCAGCCCTCCTCACAGCCCCGCCCCCTCTCTCAGCCCCGCCCATTCATCGTCAGCCCCGCTCCCCGGCCTTTCCCCTTATAGCCCCGCCCCCAAATCCCCGCCCCTGCCCTGCCACGCCCCTTACAGGCCCTTCCTCCGATCCTTCCCCTCCACCTCCCCGCAGCCCCCTCTCCAGGCCCCACCTTCCAGTTCCGCCCTCCACCGACCCCGTTTGCGCTCCTAGACTCTCCTCGGCCCCGGCCTCGCCCCCGCCACTCTAGGCTCCGCTCCTCTCGTTGGTTCGTGCCGGGCCGACACTGGCCAGGCGCGGAAGGCGGGGCGGCCACGGGGCTGTGGCGCCGTGCGCAGGTTCCGGCCTCCCGCCCGCCGTTGCGTTGGGGCCGCGCAGCTGGGCCTGGGCCGGCTCTGACCCTCCGCCCGGGCTGGGTCCCGGAGACGCCGTCTCCCCATGCGCAGGTCTAGGCCGTGGGCCTGCGCTCGTCCCGAGCGGCTCTCCCCCAGGCCCGGCGCCCCCATTCGGGTTCCAGGGCTCATACCGGCCCAATCCAGGCCCCCCTCCGTTTTCTTTTTTCTTTTTCCGGCCAGAATAGGTTTTTCTTCCCAGTGGTGTCCAGTGGCCTTGGAGCTCCAGAAACGTTCGGGTGAGCTTCTCCCAACATGTAGAAATGGGGCTCTGGAAACGGAGTCCTCGAGAGCTGCCCTCAGGGCTCCAGGGCGCCGGCTGTGCGTTCCTTCTTAACTTTCCAAAGTGTCTCCTCAAAGTCACTGCCGCCCGAGGTGCCATGGCACCCAAGCCATGGGGTGAGTGGAGCATGGCCCTGTCCCACCTGGCGCTGGGAGTGGTGTCTCTGCATGCAGCCCTGAGCACTGCCCAGGTGAGTACACAGGGGCTGGGTAAGGGAGTCTCCCATTCCCGAACCCCAGGGACCTAGCCAGTTCCTTGGGTCAGGGAGAGGGTGGTGAGAGGTGAGTCTGGAGTCCAGGCTTTCATGAGACCCCCTTAGACCCTCCCCTGTTTAAAGAAAGGTCCTGGCCTCTTTTCCCCACATCTCCCCTCCCTGTGTTGACAGGCAAGTCGAGGGGCTGCTGCCGGCTTCCTGCTCCAGGCCTTGGCTGCTGCCACCATGCTGGCTCCAGGGCTAGGCACAGATGAAGATTGTCTTGCTGGAGCCTGGGTGGCCACTGTCATTGGCCTGCCCCTTCTGGCCTTCGATTTCCACTGGGTGAATGGGGACCGCTCCTCTGCAAACCTGCTCCTGGGCGGAGGCATGGTGCTGGCAGTGGCTGGTGACCACCTTGGTGCGGAGGGCCGCTCTGTGGCTGGTCAGGCAGTGGTGCTGGTGGTGGCAGTTACTATTCTCATTGTGGCTGTTTTCACGACCAACACTTACGGCATGTGGGGGGGCTTGATGCTGGGTGCTGCAGGCCTCCTGGGCCGGCTGGAGGAGGACAGGCTGCTGTTGCTGCCGAAGGAGGACATCTGTCGCTGGGTCCTGGCCGCGGGCAGTTGGGCCTACCACCGGGCCTTGCACACCCAGCGCCTGCAGTGGGAGTGATGCTTGGAGACTGCTGGGCTGGGCTTCTGTCCTCGTTACCACCTCACACCTCCTGGGGCCTCCTTCCCTAGAGATAGACTCTCCTTCCTCCCAAAGGGGGCTTGCTGCAGGGTGACTCCTCCGGTGGAGGGTGAGGACCCGCCCAGACCAGGATGAAGGGCATGGGGTCCAAGCACATTTGGGGGTCTGATTCTGAGCAGACTATGGTTGTGGATCCAGAGAGAGGCTTGGTCTCCAATAAACCTTAGGGATTCTGCAGGAATATGGAATCTGCCCATTCTTGAGAGGGATTGAGTTTTCGAAAGCCCCCAGGTCAGCAACCGATTCCCGGAGCAGGGGAAGGGGATGCACTGAAAGCAGCCTAGGGCCTCGCCCACCCTGCCGCCTGCTGGCACCTGGATTGAGAAGACATAATCCGGGGACATGGAGGAGTTCTGAACACCCTGGCACAGCCTGGCAGGTGGGCCTCTGGGCAGTGACCATGTAGGCTGCTGTCGGGGGTGGGGACAAGGGAGGTTTGTACCGCAGCTGTTCCCAGAAACGCACATTCCCTCCCAGCGCTGCCTGGACCTCTACCTGCTTGTCCTCCAGCCTGTGCAAGGCAAGGCCTCACTCTCTGTGGACCCTTTAGCTCCCTACCCCCGGGTTAGGAAACCAGATTGGGCGGCGCAGAGAGTCAGATTCGGGCCTGGAGTGCTCCTTCCGGCGGTCCCCGCGCTGGCGTCCGGTGGACGCACATTAGTTCCCGCTCAGGAGGGCGAGGGGTGGCCGCGGGATTTATCCATCCAGTGAGCCAGATCGAGTCACGTAAGCTCGAGGGTTGGGGGACAAAGGCGCGGGTGCACCCTAATGTGAGGCTCCCGGGTGACCAGCGGCCCGAGGACCGCGCCTTGGACCCACCCGAAGCCCGGCGGGTTCCCCCGCGGCCCCAGGTGCGCCCGCCGCGGGTCTCCCTGGGCCCCGCCCCTCGCTGCCCACTCTGCAGGGCTGGGCCCTCGCGCGCTCATTGGCTCTGCCCGCCGCACCGGCTAGCCCCAAGCGGAGCAGCCATTGGCCCTCGCGTGTCACGTGACTAAGAGACCCAGGGGGCGGTGGCGGCGGTGGGGGAAGGAGCTCGGAGCGAAAACAAAGATGGCGGCCGCTCCGGGGTCGGTGGCCGCGGCAGCTGCGGGGGGACGTGCGGGCCGGACCCACTGAAGCGGCGGCGCAGGGAGCGGGGCTGCGGGGTCGCGGCGGCAGCGAGAGGGCGGCGGCGGCGCGCGGCGCCACTAACCTCCAGCCTCGGGAGCGCGCCCTCACCAGCCCGCCGGGCCGGCCGGCAGCGATGTCCGGCACCGAGGAGGCCGGCGGAGGCGGTCCGGCTACGGGTTCCGCCGGCGCCGGGCCTGTCGGGGTCGGGCCCGGGGCGGCCGCAGGGCCGGCGGCTGCGGCAGCGCTGGGTGAGGCGGCAGGGCCCGGGCTCCCGGAGGAAGCTGGCCTGGCCGGCGCCCGGCAGCTGCAGGAGGCGGCGGGCGACCCCGACGCGCCGCCCAAGAAGCGGCTGCGGGCGGCCGAGGCAGCCGAGGCGGCGGCGGGCAGCGGGAAGCTGGAGGAGCGGCTCTACTCGGTTCTGTGCTGCACCGTCTGCCTGGACCTGCCCAAGGCCTCCGTGTACCAGGTAGGGCCGCTGGCCCGACCCCGACCCGGCCCGGCCGGCGCCCCGGGCACCACGTCTCCTCCGAGGCCAGGCCCAGCGGTCGGGACTCCGGCGCCTGTTTGGAAGCTCCTCCTTTTCTCCTCTCAGGACTTTATTTCCTGCTCGAACCCCCCTCTTTCTTGTTCCGACTCCCTTGTCTCCCGGCCTGGACCTTGTCCCCCGCGGTGTGTCTTCCCCTGCTGCCCCCCCCCCCCCACGCCTCCCCAGCCCCTCAAGCTGAGCCCAGAGAAAGCGGGTGGCGGGCACCCCCCTCCCCCCCCAGAGCTGGCTCCCCGCATTGCTGAGCCCCCTAGACCCGGGAGCTCCTCTGTTCTTTCAGCAGCCACCTCCCCAAACCTGCCCTCAGGCTCCTCCTGCACCCTTTCTTCCTCCGGAGTGGAAGAACCCCCCCGGCCTCCTTTTTTCTGGAAAAATACTGAGAAGAGAGGGGATGCCTCCCCCATTCCTTCCCCGCATTCGGGTCTGAATGCAACACCTGCATCGAGCGCCAGTCTGGGTCCCTTCCTAGTCCCACCCGGTGTCTCCCCGCCCGCTCCGCCCCGCCTGCCTCACCCGGACCGGTTTCCTAGGCTACGCGCTCTAGGGGGTCTGTCCACCCTCCTCCCGGCGGCTGTTTTCCGGCTTCTGACCCGGGTCAGGGCAGTTCTGGAGGGTACCTGGCCCAGGTGGGTCTGAAGGAGGTCCCACACTCTGGCCCCAGAGTTAGCGTACAGGGTCCTGCCTTGCTTTGTCTTTGTCCCTCCACACACACCTGTCTGTTCCAGCCCCTGCGCCCGTGAGGGATGCAGCAGGTTCCTTGTCACTCGCCTGCACTACCCGAATTGGGCTTCTGCTCGACTGGGGGCCTGGGTGAGGGCTGTTGTTGTCATGTGCAGTTTGGGGCTAGTCTGGTTTACCGTTTCCCCAGCCTCGGGGTCTCTCATCCTTTCTGCTGTGCCTGCCGTGCGGTTGCTTAGGAGGCCCCTGGCGTGCCAGCAAGGAAGTGGGTCCAGTTCTCAACCCTCCCTCCTGGCCAGAGGCTCCGGTCAGGGACACTGCAGGCCTCCGGCCGGGTGCCAGTGGGGAGCGCTGGGCATAACCCCGCAGCCTGGGGGTGCGCCTCAGGCCTCGTCCTCCAGCCCCTCTTCCTTGCCCCAGGACCTTGGGTCCTCCCAGGTGGAACTTCCTTGGGCCTTGAGTGACAGCCCAGGGAGCCAAGCCGATGGTATGGGGCCCCAGGGAAATCCGAGGGCCTCCTCATCCCCCTCCAGTGAGTGGCTCCTGGTCCACTTCGCACAGAGAGCTGAGCTCTGTCTGTGGCCAGAGCTGCTGGTGACCAGGCTCTGAGCCTGGCTGGTTCAAACCGGCCCACACTGTGCTGGGAGCTGAGCAGCTGTGATGGAGAGTGAGGGTGCAGGGCAGCACTGACCGGTGCCCTCCCCATGGCCTGGACATGAGTAGGAACTCATGGCTTCCCTGAGAAATGTCTGTGCAGCAGGGAGAGCCCCGACGCTGGCCCCACACAAGCCTGTTCCTCCCAGTGGCACCTGGGCCTGGTTGGGGTGCGGGAGAAAGCCCCAGCACATGGGACCAGCGGGCGCACCCTTGGCACTGTAGGGCTGGCTGGAGCCCTGTCCGGGGTGCCTGGTGAGGGTGCGCAGCAGGGCTCAGGCCGCACGGGAGTGGGAGGGGCCCGAGAGCGGGGGCAGGAGGGAAGGTTTCTTGGTGACTTGCTGCTGTGTGGTGTCCCATTTCACCCCCACAGTGACCCTGGATGGGGACATCGAGGGCAGAGGCCCCAACAGACCTGGTTGGCACCAAAGCTGAGTGTTCTTGGGAGGATCTGGGTTCCACACGCTGCCTTGAAACTGTGGGCCCAAAGCTTTCTGCATGTCCTGGGTCATGCCCATTGCTGGCCACCACCTGTTGGCCTGGGCTCAGCCCTTCCCCTTCTGCGGGCCTTCTTTGAGGAGCAATGTTGAGCTGGTTTGGGCCACTTTTTCCTGACCCCTTCCGGACCCAGGCTCAGGGTGGGCAGCAGTCACACCGTGCCTCTGAGAGCTGTCCCAGCTGGTGTCTGTGCTGCTCCTGCACTGGCTGTGAGGACAACTCCATGGGCCTGGAGTCAGCTGAGTGCTTGGTCCCCCAATAGCTTGCTCTCTGGCCACCAGACCCCCCTTTCGTCTCCCCAGGAAAGCCTTAGTGGTGGTCAGGGCTCGCGTTGGGCGGGTGAGGCAATCCGCTCTCTCAAGTCTGAACCTCAGCCCTGCAGGGCGGCTCTCCTGGCAGGTGGTGTCACACGCCTGGGTCAGGAGACTTGCTGAGGACTCGGGCCTCGAACAGCACTGAGGCCAATGGGTCTCACTGTGGCTAGAGCAGGTACAGCAGGTGCTGGCTTTGATGTTCTTTGTGTGGGTGTTAGATGTGTCCTTGTGACTGGCCTGACAAGGTATGTGACCACCTTCCAGAGCCCCAGGCAGGAGGACATTGGGGTAGGCCCCTGGGGTGGGAGCAGGAGGGCTGCACCCTTAGCTCTAGGCTGTATCTGCTCTGGATGCAGCTGTGTGGTCACTGCCGTGGGACCAGCCCCTTTGCCAGGGATACCTTCTCTGGGACAAACAGCTTCTGGGGAGCCATGGCCTGATCCCTCCCTCCCTCCCAGGCTCTCCCCCTGCCCTTCACAGGAGGCCCAGTGCATCTTCCACCCGGTCCTGACGTTAGCTGAGGCCCTGAGCCATGGAGTGTCTGGAGGGAGGGGCCGCGTAGCTCTTTCACTCCTCACTGGTGCTCAGCCAGAAAAGCTCCCTGTGACCCTCATCAGGGGGAAGGAGCTTCTGGGAGGTGGTCCCAACTGGCCCTCTGACCCCTATGCCTCAGCTCCTGGCCTCAGACCCAGGCCTGTTCCACCTGGGCCCCTCCCACCTGGTGCCCCTCCTGCTTGTCCGCACAGGCCCTGCTGTGCCTCCTCTCCCTAAGGCCTCCTGTCTCTGCCCAAACTCAGCTCAGGCCTTGGCCCACGGGGCCTTTTACCTGATTGGTAAAGGGCTCAGGAAGCAGGCGCCGGTGAGTGTGGCACAGGCATTGGGGAGCCTCAGGCACACCTCGGAGCAGCTGTGGGCAGGCCTGGGGCTGTAGGCACTGTTCCAAGTAAGTCCAGGTGGGTTTGTCCTCCAAGGCCTGGGGTCCTCCTCCCTGCTCTCGGGCTGCGGCTGGCTGGCTCGTGCTTTTAGGTGAGACAGGTAGCAGAGAGGAGTTTTAAATGTATCTGCTTAGGTGTCCAAAGCCAGGGCAGAGAGAGGGTTCTGGACTGGCTAGATGAGAAGCTGTTTGTGTGGTGGTTTGTCGTGTGCGTTACCTTGTGGTCCAGGCAGCACTTAGTTCTGAGTAATGAGCCTGACTCAGGCCAAGTGACAGGTTCCCACCTGAGTCCTGGCTCTCAGCGTGGCCAGGACTTCAGACTGAAGTGTGGCTTTCACCGAAGCAGCTGGGTGCCTGGGACGCTGCGGTCCCTCCCACACCCCTTGATCAAAGAGGGGAGGACACTTTGGCATGTGGGATATGTGGTGCCCAAGGCCCTGCTGGGCCTGGTGAGGGGGACCTCCCGCTGGGCTGAGTGGCCCTTGTGGGTTTGGTGCCCACAGCTGTGGCTGCTCAACAGGAGGCGTCTAGACCTAGAGTGGCTGGCGGGGCCCGGGCCCAGGGGTGCCTCCATGTTGGTGTCCAGTTGGCCTTACTGAACCAGGTGCTTTGGGGTTTGACCTGAAGTTTCCTCCCATTACCAAGTGGTCAGTCGGCCGTGTCGCTTCCCTCCCTGCCTCTGGACAGGGACAGTGCTCTTCCCGAGGCTGCGGCAACACCAGGCTCTGTGGGCTCAGGCCCTGGCCCAGAGGAGTGTGATCTGAGCCCTTGGTCTGCTCCTCCCGGGAGGTGGCAGGGGCCTGGGGCATGTGTCCCCCACTGACCCCCACTCACCACTTCTCTGGTTCTCCACTGCTCCCTGTGGGTGGGCAGGACAGACTGCTTCTGGGACCAGCCGTGTGTCCAGAGCGGATGGGCTAGCCCAGCTGTGGGCAAACTACGGCCCGCGGTCCGGATCCGGCCCGTTTGAAATGAATAAAACTATTGGAAAAAAAGACCGCACCCTTTTAGGTAATGATGTTTACTTTGAATTTATATTAGTTCACACAAACACTCCATCCATTCTTTTGTTCCGGCCTCCGGTCCAGTTTAAGAACCCATTGTGGCCCTCGAGTCAAAAAGTTTGCCCACCCCTGGGCTAGCCCCTGCCAGATCTGCTCCTCCAAGACTGAGCCAGCCAGCTCCCCCCATTTTACACTGACTTAGAAAGTGAGGTTTGCGTGCAGAGCGTCTGTGATGCTTGTGTGGGCAGGGTTCTGTTTGACCCAAGAGGACACTTAGCACAAGTCTTTTGTTTTTAATTTTTTATTTATTGATCTTAGGGAGAGAGAGAGAAGCATCGGTTTGTTGTTGCACTTGTTTGTGCATCCATTGGTTGATTCTTGTATGTGCCCTGACGGAGATCCAACCTGCAATCTTGGTATATCAGGACGATGCTCTGACCAATTGACCAACCTGGCCAGGCTCAGCTCAGCTCTTTCTTCTTATACCTCTTTGGCTCCTGTGTGTGCCTGTCCTTCCCCACACCGAGCCTGTGGCAGCTCAACCCATGGTCCACCGTTCCTGGTCTCGGCACCACATGGGTGCTCAGGAGGTGTGTGGAACTAGTGAGAGACCCGAGATAGGAGTTGAGCCGGCAGCCTACTGTCCACAGGCTCAGGGCCTCAGTGGGGGTGGCAGGTTGCTGTAGGCAATCTCTGGGCCTCAGATCTTCAGGTTCAGAAACGGCGGGGGGCGGCGGCCTGGCTTTTACCCACAGCAGCAACATGTCCCCCTACCCTTTCTCCCCACCCATTCCCACCTCCCTCTGGCATGTACTGGCCATGTGCCCTTGTCCCAGGCTAACTCGGCCTCCCCACCTGCATCAGCTTTTTGCCACCAGGTCTTGGGAAGGCACATGCAGGTAGCCACCATCACTGGGTGGGTGGCAGCTGCCTGCTCACCCATGCCCATCAAGGAGGCAGAGGGGAGGGACCAGGTCCCAGCCCCAGCATGAGGTGGCCGTTCTGAAGGCCAGGGAGAGGCACACCTGCCTTGGCACGGGAGCAGTATCAGCTGCCCCTCAACAGCTGCTGGCATAGCACCGTTGCCACGCTCCACCAAGCGTCTGAGTCCCTGTAGGCACCCAAATCAAGGGCCTCAGGACTGTCTCTGACTCCTGTTATGGGAAAGACCAGGCTCCCCACCAGCAGGCCTGCCTCGGCGATGAGCCGGAACCTCTGCAAGCTGCCACAGGCCGCCCTGGAGACCAGCTCACAAAGAGCCGGCGGCTGTTTCAGCAGGGCTCTAGGGAAGAGGCCTAACCCTACTAAGCAGTGTTCCTTTGGGTGCTGAGCACCAGCACACCCCTCCCCTGCCTCTGTTCATGGCAGCCCCTCCTACGGCTCGAGCCCCTCAGGGTGGCTGGCCTGGCCCTGGCGGAGCTGGCGGGCAGCGTGTATGTGTGCGCGAGTCCACAGGTCTGTGAGCTCATCTCCCTTTCCTTCTTCGCAGTGTACTAACGGTCACTTGATGTGCGCTGGCTGTTTTATCCACCTACTAGCAGATGCCCGGCTGAAGGAGGAGCAGGCCACGTGCCCCAACTGTCGTTGTGAGATCAGTAAGAGCCTCTGCTGCCGCAACCTGGCTGTGGAGAAAGCCGTGAGCGAGCTGCCCTCCGAGTGTGGCTTCTGCCTGCGCCAGTTTCCCCGCTCGCTCCTGGAGAGGCACCAGAAGGAGGAGTGCCAGGACAGGTAACCGCCTGGGCAGGCAAGGCCTCAGCGTGCAGCATGCTCTGGCTGGTCCTTGTTGCCTGGGCCTCGCGTTCTGCCCTTGCAGGGCTGGGCCAGCGTGAAGCTGCTCAGGGTCCAGACCCTGCAGTGGGTGGGTGTGGGGCCCCACGGAGGGTGGGAGGCTTGGATCTGTACACAGTGACTGTCCGGACATCACCCTGGTTCTCTAGGGTGCTCTGGATGTGTGGTGGCCTCTTAGAGGCTGTCCTTGGCATCCCTGGGACCAGGAGAGAGTGGCCAGCTCAGGAGCTCTGGGGTCTCGGTGTGAGGCACCCCAGCCCAGTCCTGGCCACTTCACAGTCCGCAGCAGCTGGGCCTGGCCAGAAGCCTCACTCAGAGTAAAGCTGGACCAGGTCCGGGATAGTAGTCGGCAGCCACTATCTCCAAGCAGGACAGAGACCCCACAGCAGTGGGTGTGAGTGGCTTGTGCTCACACAGCTCCTTCTCTCCGTCTTACACTCTGGCCTCTTCCTGGGTGGCGACACACACTGAGTGTGCGCTTCAGGGAGCGGCTTGTGTGCGGCTGAGTGGAGGCCTGAGGCTTAGGCCTTGACCACGGTGCCCCCACCCCCACAGGGTGACCCAGTGCAAGTACAAGCGAATTGGCTGCCCGTGGCACGGCCCCTTCCATGAGCTGACTGTGCACGAGGCTGCCTGTGCCCACCCCACCAAGACGGGCAATGAGCTGATGGAGATCCTGGACGAGATGGACCAGAGCCACCGCAAGGAGATGCAGCTCTACAACAGCATCTTTAGCCTGCTGAGCTTCGAGAAGATCGGCTACACAGGTGAGGCGTCCGCCACCCCTGCTGGCCACAGAGCCTGGGGCTGGCAGCTGGGAGCCTGGGAGCACTGGGCTCTGGGCAGGGGGCACAGGCCAGGCCAGGCAGCTGGGCTCTGAACAAGCTCCTGTTGAGTGGAGGACACCTTGGGGAGAAGATGGACCAGAGGCTGAGCAGGGAGGAGCCCAGGCAGGACCTCAGGCACCTGCAGGGCTCTCACAGGCCCCTCCCACCCGTCGTCCCCACCCTGGCCCTGCCACCTCAGCAAGGTGGTGTCCTCGCTGTGTGGGGGATGGGCAGGGGTGTCTTGGGGGCCCAGGAACTGGTGGCCTGCCCCGCAGAGCCAGGGGCCAGAAGAACTCTCGTCATGTTGGGCCCTGCATGTGGGTGTGAGGCTGCAGTGGCCACAAAGCTCCTAAGGCCACAAGAAGACACTCAGGGCCAGGGCTTCAGAACAAGCTGAGGGTGCCCAGCTCAAAACGCAGAGCTGGAATGGACACCAGGGACAGGCAGGCTGGACCGCATCCGGGCCCACTGGATTTCCTGGGCTCTCCTGGCCACTGCTTTTGGACGTGCTGGGAACAGGAGCCAGGCCAGAGCCTGGTCTAGACACAGAACAGCCAGAAGCACCTGCTGATGCTGGGGCCGCTCAGGGAGACTCCAGCCTCTACTGCCCAGCCCATGCCGGCGGCTGGCTCAGAGCACCAAGGGCGGTCGCTGGCAGCCAGTCACACCATGCTGCCTGGACTGGGCCTGGCTCAGTGTGGGCCTGCACAGGCCGAGAGGCTGAGGGCCTGGGGCCTGGTTAGTTGCAGCCTCAGTCTCCCTGGTGGGCACCGCAGCACCAAGAGTCCAGGCCAGACCTCGGTGTCTGGGCAGGCCAAGGCGTCGTGACTTGGGCAGTGGCAGGGCAGGGAGCCCATCCACGCGGGAAGGACTGGCCGCCTCTGGAGGGACAAGCTGGCCTTGGGCACGTGCTGTGCTGAGGACTGTGACAGTAGAGCACAGCAGTGGGCCGCATGCCAGCGCTCGACTCTGGCCGGATGCCACGCACTGGCCTGCCTGCCGGCTTTCTGGCAGCTCTGTATGGAACCAATAAAGTGCACTGTTCTCAGAACTGCATCCTGTCTGTGTGTCTGCTTACCATGGCCCGGGGTGGGCGGGGGCCAGGAGGGAGGCCAGGGGGCGGGCTGGCCACCCACCTCACTGTCTCTGGACTCCCTGCAGCTAACGCGTGTCCCTTCTCTCCCCAAAGCTTGTGTGTGCCTCCATTTGCCATAATTGCCTTTGATTTGCCTTGTGACAAGTAGAGCACCCGTGCCCTCCTGGTAAGTTGCCTTCCTCCCTGGCTGAGCCCGTGTCCTCGGCTGGTCGGAAGGCTCCGCTACCAGCCCAGCCCACCCTGACTGCCGGCCCGTCCGGCCTGTCTGTCTCCACAGAGGTCCAGTTCCGGCCGTACCGCACGGACGACTTCATCACGCGCCTGTACTACGAGACACCGCGGTTCACGGTGCTGAACCAGACGTGGGTCCTGAAGGCGCGAGTGAACGACTCAGAGCGCAACCCCAACCTGTCGTGCAAGCGCACGCTGTCCTTCCAGCTGCTCCTCAAGAGCAAGGTCACGGCACCCCTGGAGTGCTCCTTCCTGCTGCTCAAGGGCCCCTATGACGACGTGAAGATCAGCCCTGTCATCTACCACTTTGTCTTCACCAATGAAAGCAACGAGACGGACTACGTGCCACTGCCCATCGTGGACTCCGTGGAGTGCAACAAGCTGCTGGCCGCCAAAAACATCAACCTGCGGCTCTTCCTCTTCCAGATCCAGAAGTAGGCGCCGCTGCGCTGCCCACACCTGCCTGGCCGCGGCTTTGCAGTGCTGTCTGACCATTTCGGCAGAGGAGGAACAGACGGGAACACGGGAAAGTCTGCATGCGTGTGCGAAGGTGTGAGCGCTCACCACCTGGCCCTCTACCTGCCTCCCTGTCCAGGGCATGGAGGCTGGTTCAGGGACACCGCAAGGCGAGCTCAGCAGACTTGCCGGCCTCTGCCACTCGGCGAAGCGCCCTACCTGCCCTGGGCCGCACACAGCTCCTGGGCCGGGCTCGGGCGCTGGCTTCAGACAGCATATCTGATTGCAATTAAAAAGGCACCTTGTTTCCTACTTTCTGTTTTGTTCAAGGGTAAGGCGTGGCTGTGATTGGACAGTGGGGAAACTTTGGTGGGCCTGGGGGTCAGAGCCACACATCCCTCAGTGTGCCCCTAGGAGACACGGAGATGCTGCTTCCTCCACCATGGGCCCCAGCAGGGGAGTGGACAGGGGCAGGGGTCTCGTAACAGCCTCAGCGCACCCCCCAGCCACTCCAGGGAGGCAGGACTTGGCCACCTGGGCTCAGCGGATGTTTCGGAATGCAGGGTGAAATTCTGTCTCTTCCTAGGAAATAAATGAAATTCTTTATAGGCTCCTCTGTAAGTTATGCAAATTTAGCAAGAGAGAATCTATTTTCTGTATTCAGCTTTGAGGGTGAAACACCCCGAGGCTATGAGGAAAGCTCTGGGAGCCACTGGTGATGGCAGAGCCTGGCTGGTTGAGGGTCAGGTAAGCCAGCTGCCCCATGCTCTCGGGACCGTTGTTAGTCCTGTGTCTGGGACCCACTGTGGAGGTCAGCGCCTGGGCAGCGTAGTTTCTCACCGGTGAGAGGCAGTCCCTTCCTAGCCTCGCCTTTGCTGCGCCCCCCCCCCCCCCCCCCCCCCCCCCCCGCACGAGCACACACACACACACACACACACACACCCAGGCCTCACGACCCTGCAGCTCGGCCCCAGTGAGCATGCCAGGTGTGTGGGCCTCAGGGTAAAAGCAGCCCTGTCTGGAGGATGCTGGGACCCTCATAGCTGCTGGAGAGGGCCTCCCCCTTTGCTAAGGAGACACGGCTTTTCATTGTTTTGATACCAAAGAACCGTTTCCTTTGCCCCCGGTCAGGCCCACCCTGTGCCTCAGAGCAGTCCCATTGCTCTGACCCCACAGGGCTCAGTGGGCAGTGCAGCCACAGCTTGGCCTCTCTCAGGCTCCTCCCTCTCCTGGCCCTCCACTCGGTTCTCCTGCCAGGCTGGCTCCCCGAGCTACTCTAAAGAAACTATTTGGCTTCCTGCTCCAAGCCCAGGGCATGGGGTTTTGGGGGGGTCGCTCTCCTGCAGATGGCCTGGTCACTGAGGGTACCAGGAGGCACTCTATAAAGGACCCCACTGCAGCCCCTCCACTCCCTTCGATCTCAATTTGAACACACCCTGGGGTGAGTCCCACTGTCCTCAGGCTGCCCCCCACCTGGTGGGCGAAAAGGAGACTTTCAGGTAGATGCATGTCAGGTGTCCTGTGTGTAGGAGATTGTGCTGTGTCACTGCATCTCGGCCTCTCTTAGGGACCGACAGTCTCTAGTTTCTGGATTTCCAAGTGATGGTGTTGTGAGGGCATCCAGGCTGGGATGGGGCTTCCCAGTTAGTTGTACCTGGGTGGTTTGTGTGAGATTGAGTCAACAGAAGGAAGCCCCAGTGGCTTTCCTGGGGGTGGGGGGCAGGGTGGGAGAGGGCAGGTTTCTGTGTGCAAGTGAAGGAAGGTATATGGCTGCCTGGGACCAACAGCCTTGTGTGTGTGGCAGAAGGGTCCGCCACACACGAGGGCTTACAGCCCACATTGCCTGCAGCCAAGGGTGGGTGAGGAAGTGGGACTGCGCCCAGAGGGCCCTCCTTGTAGGAGGTACAGGTATGTCTGGGTTGCCCAAGAGGACTGCTAACACATCCCAGCCCTGTGATGTCACCTTGCAGCCCGGGGCAGCCAGGAACCCTGGTGAGTTTCAGCTCCCATGGGGTTGCCACAAACCTGTGGCATCATCTCTGTGGGCCACTGATTTACAGAGACACCAGTGGTCTGTCTCCAGGACCCCCTGCCATCTTGGCATCCTGACCCGAGCAGGCGGAAGTGCCACCTCTGCGGCTGTGGGGGCAGCGGGGCAGTGCAGACCCAGCTGCCCGCTCCTTCTCAACCCCACTCCCTGCGAACACTCCATTCTCAGTTCACCTAAAGTGAGACATTGCAAAGATAATAAAACTAATTTTTTAAGAGTGGAGTGAGAGGTGTTTTTACCACTGTTGTAAATGACTTCCATGTCACTTTTGTGGTCTGCGTTCTCTTTGGATATTTTCTGTATGTAACTATAGTTTTAAAAAAATTCCAACCCATGTCTTGTCTGTGTTTCTTTATGAGAAGACTGCCTCATGGGCTTCCCTGGGCTCTGCCTGTCTCCCAGCCAGGGCTCAGCCTCTGCTGGCCGCCAGCCTGGGGCCTCCCCACCTCAAGCCTCCAGCCCCTGCTCAGCACCACCTTGTATACATATATCCCTGTCCGATCAGCGGGGAAACTGAGGCATGGAGCAGTTGGGTCCTCTGAAGGGTAATCGGGCCCCCAGGACCTGGGCCGCCCTGAGAATGCTGGTGTTGCAGGGGGAGCCCGGCCACACCTTTCTAGCAGCTCTGTCCATTTCGCTGAGCCAGTCTGCTTCCCGGCCTTGCTCCCCCATAACCAGGCCTGCCTGGGTGCCCAGCGGAGCACTGCACTCTTCAGAAGAGGCGGTGGGTCTCCAGGTCTAACTTCCCACCTCTGGCAGCTCCTCAGGCTTGACCTCGCCCCACCCCTATGGCCTAGGCCCTAGGCACTGGCCCAGGGTAGCCTTTCTTGGACTCAAGGACCCATCTGCCCTCCACATCACTCCCTCCTTGACAGGCCTTGTTGTCCACCACTGGGTGCAGCTTTACCCCAATGGGAGTCTTCTGATTTCCACAGAGAAGAAACACGCACCCCCGCTTGTGTGGGTCGGTTGGTTGGGCGTCATCCTGTGCACCAGGAGGTTGCCAGTTGGATTCCTGGTCAGGGCACATGCTGGAGGCAGCTGATCAATGTTCCCTCCCACATTGATGGTTCTCTCTCCCTCTCCCTTCATCTCTCTAAAAATCAATGAACTGTTCTTTTTTAGAATAATAAACACGTCCATCTCCCACTCCTTCCTTCCATTGCTCCTCCGGGGCCTTTGGGATGCCAGCCATGGCACCCGGTGCCCTGGGCATGCCATGTGGCAGGGACTGAGCCCCAGGCGTGGCAGGTGCTGGGCCTGGGCCTGGATACACCAAGCCAGAGCAGCCAGCACCGCGCAGGGCAAGTGCCACTCCTGCCGCCTCTCAGCACAGCCTGGATCTGCAGCTCTAACGGAGAAATACCTCCCTCCCCCGGCAGCACCGAGTTTGAGTCTCCAAAAGGGTCGGTAGTGCAGCCACATTCTGGGCTCGTCGGACCACGTGGATGTGCACAAATTCTCAGCCTGCGGATCACAGATCACCTCCTGCATGAGGACAGTGCCCCCTTAGGAAAATTCGCCCCTGTGGTTGGTTTGCTGTGTGTGTGTCGGGGGACGTCTGCGGGGCCCGGGCGGCGGGGGTACCTCCCCATCCAAACGACGCCAAGTCCTGGCAGGCGGCCGCTCTCTCGCGAAGCTCTTCCCGCCCAGCAGCAGCCAGACTACAGCTCCCGGGATGCTTCGGGCGGCTGGACTACATTTCCCGGGATGCTCTGCGCCGAGCGGGGCGGTGCTGCGCTTGCGCAAGGGCCAGGGACCGGGCTGCGAGAGCGCGGGAAATCCGGATTCTTCCCAGCGGCTGGATCTCTGCGCGGTGTCCGGACTATGAGCCTGGACCGCGAGCTTCGCCGTAAGTTCCCGGGCCGAGCGCCCCAGTGCGAGGGCCGGGGGCGGGCCCGGGCGGAGAGGCTCAGCCTCCCGGCCTCGTTGTCTCTCTGTAGAGCTGAACAAGGCCAAGGCAAAGGCCCAGAACAGCGGGCAGCTGCGTGAGGAGGCCGCCATCTGTCACCAGCTGGGGGAGCTGCTGGCCAGCCATGGTGTGTTTCTCGCGCGGGGCCGGGTGGGGTCCACGGCTGGGGCCCGGGGAGCTCGGGGGCCTGGGGACCCGGGGCGGGTGCGGGGAGCCTTGTCGGGCACGGCCCTCGGCCGACCGCCCGGCCTGCTGAAGCCCGCCCGCCTGCACCCAGGCCGCTACTCCGAGGCCCTGCAGGAGCACCAGCAGGAGCTGCGGCTGCGGGAGAGCGCCGAGGACGCCCTGGGCTGCGCCGTGGCCCACAGGAAGATCGGGGAGCGGCTGGCGGAGATGGAGGACTACTCGGCCGCCCTGCAGGTGGGCGTGCCCACCCAGCACCCAAGCCTGCCAGACCCAGTCCTCCCGGGCCTGCTCTTTGCGGGGGGGTCCCCAAAATTCTCAGCCTGAGGGTCAGAGCCACTCTGACCTCCTGGTTCATAGGTCCACACTCAACCACTGAGCCACGCTGGCTGGGCAGGGGTCCCTTTCTGAGGACAGAGGAACAGCCTACTGTCCCAGCCTCTGGCTAAGGGGGACATGCCGAGACTGGGCTGTGCCGGTGGATGGTCAGCTGGTCCTCGCGTGGCTGCACCACCATCTCTTCCTGGAGTTTGGCCCCAGAAACAACCACTAATGAACACATCACTTCAGCTGTGTTTGTGACCTGGGGGGTGAGGGTCAGGACCCACTGTTCACACAGAGCCTGCCCTGGCTCTTGCTGCTGGGGTGCAGGAACCAAACTAACCTTCACGCCTTGTTCCTCCCCTAGCCTGACGTTTGCTTGCTGGGCTGTGGAGCCAGTGTCCCCACAGGCAGCCCTTGGCATAGAGGAGATGCTCAGGGGGAGGGGTGTTCCAGGGAGTAGGGGGCTCTCCTGTGTAAGCATAGGGACCCCCCGGAGTTGAGTGACACGTGGGGTTTGCTTGAGGCAAGGGTTGGTCACAGCCACTGTCCCTCTGCGCCCCAGCACCAGCAGCACTACCTGGAGCTGGCCTGTTCCCTGTCCAACCACATTGAGGTGCAGAGGGCTTGGGCCACCATTGGCCGCACCCACCTGGACATCTATGACCACAGCCAGTCGCAGCAGGCCCTGCTGCAGGCTCGAGCTGCCTTTGAAAAGAGCTTGGCTATTGTGGATGAGAAGCTGCACAGTGAGTGCCCCGGGGTGCAGCCCTACCCACCCTCTGCCCCCAGAGCTGTGGGTGGAGGAAGTGTTCCCGCCGCCTGCCAGCCTGTGTGGTGGGTTCT